TTATCATATTTTGATCTTCCATGACCCTCATTCTCCCACTGCTATTGTGATTTGAGCTGGGTTTAACACAAGATGTATTGAAACACCAGCCATAATGCATCAGCATATTGATTAAATTAGTACCGTACTTTCCCATGTTATGTTCTTTTGATACTTTGTGTTCACTTTATTTACCTGCTACCGTCATGTTTTTCCCCCTAGCACCTGGGTCTGCAAACTTGAGTCCAACCTCAGTCCTCCCTCACCCTCCTGGTGAGGGGGGTTACCATAACAATATCTTTATATTTAGTCTTTTCTTTTCAATTTACAAGAACACATTCAACATAACAATAGCATAGTTTGCTTCTGCAGCACTTATAGTTTTTCAAACTGAAGTTGCTTATGCGCGCATTATACACAAAGATGTGTATGTCTGTGTCTGCCAAGTTATCCACTAGTTATCCAAATTTCTGATTGATGAATAAACTAATGAACCATGTACCCTCAAAGCTGAGGAAAACATGCAAGAATGAATCACAGCTGTACAGTATAGTCCAGTCCATTTGGCAGCTCTGCTGGGACTGAGGCCAGCTCATTTTTAAGTATGGCACCATTTGTCATGGTTTGAACTCATGCTTCCTGATTTTCTGTCATCTCTCTTGTGGTCTTTGCTAGATAGTCGCAAGTTCTTTCCTAAACAGACCCTGGCTCTCTCTCACCTGAACTGCGCTGTGACAGCTTCTTCCTCGTCTCTCTGTGAGTGCCACTGACTCATCTTACCTGTGTCGCGTACTCACCTCTGTTCCAGCAACCCATCCAGCTCTTCCCTCGTTCTCTCCCGGTACCTGCTCTGCCTCTGCCTCGCCATCTGAGCCAGTACCTGCTCTGCCTCCTGAGTAAACTCACCTCTGCCTGTGTCACGACTCACCCCTTCATTTCCCTTTAAGCACCTGTGCCCCAGTTTACTTGTGTACCAACTTACCTACAGTACATCCTCATCTCCCTGTGAGTGTCTAAGTTCCTGCTACCTGTGTGATGATTCACCTGATTCATTTCCCCGTGTGCGCCTGTTCCTCTTATTACCTGTGAGGCATCTCACCAACTCCCATTTCCGGTCCTGCCATTTCCCAGCCACCTCCTCGTCCATCAGTCTTGCAGTCACCTGACTTCTCCATCACTGACAACTCTACATACATTTCTCCAACCCTCAGTTTGCCAGCACCTTCTCCCTCATTCCCATATGTGTACAATAAATTATTTTTTGTGCTCCATTCCTGGTGTGTGTTGGTACATTGGGTCCTAGTTGTAATCACATCAGTAGGAGTATGACATTACTGTCTTCAGTCACTGACTTTAACTGGTTTACTGGACATAAAGTGCTTCAGTGAGGGAGCACATCATCAGCATAATAACATGAGAATACAGAAAAATTTGATGTACTGGGATAAAAGTGAACTGCATTTGTGGACTTTGCCTCTTCATATTGTTCAGTCATTCCATGGCCAGTAATCAGCAAACTATGTTATGCTCTACAACCCCCCTCAAAAACCCACTGAAGGAGCAGCCGGGAAGTACAAATGACCACAGAGGAGGCATGCACAGAGAAGAGTGGCTCAGGCAGGAGAACACAGAGGAGTCGAGGAATGAACCTGAATGAGGGGACAAAAACAAGAAGTCACAGGCTGGTCCCCCAGAGTGGTAGCCAGAAAAGAGGGCCACTGGGCGGCACCAAAAGCACCCACGACCAATGGTGGAGCCGCTGGAGGCAAGGCAGTGGCTTTGGTCAGGGAAACAAGGGAGATGCCAGCGGGAGCCAGTGCAGGAGAAAGCAGACTGCAGCCTGGTGATAGTAGAAGACAAGAAGTCCACAGACAGCCCAGTGCTTGTGGAGGAAGAGAGAAGTGGCAGCTTGGTGCCATGAAAGGAAGGAAACACAGCTGGGTAGCCCTATATCTGAAGAAGACAGAAAGGAGGAAAAGAGCAGGAGAGATAAAAGAGCAGGAGGAGTCTGCTTGATGCCCAGGGAAAAAAAAGCACAGGGGGAAAGAAGAAACAGAAGAAGGACTGGCCGGGGCTTGGTGTGGGAGGCTGAAAGGGCGGCCTGGACATGGCCAGACAGCATCTCAGAGACTGGTGGAAGCCTGGCACAAAGCAGGGACACTGGCAGAGGAAGGCTAGGACGACAAATGAAGAACAGTAACACATCCACTGAAGAAGAAGAGGAGATGAGTCCATGAACACCTGTTGAAGTGGAGCATGGTTAGAGCTAGGCAGACTGCAGCTGCCATTTATGAAAAATAAAAGCACTCTGCAGGAGAAATTTTGGAGAATTTATAGGCCAATACCATGGGAAGGCATGTGTTATGGACCTGCTCCTGAACTACAATGTTCATCTTCATATAAATGTTAATAAACAAAAAAGATAAGATGCCTCCCTTAGACACCCTACTCGCATGAAACAGGGCAGATAAAGAATTGTCCCACTTTACTCTCTGATTCTGATACCAGAAAGCCAGGATTCTAACCAAAGACTTGAGGGTACCATGTTAACAGTTTGAAATGATCTACCTGTTAGGATTCAGACTCAGGATGGACCCAGAATGCAGAATAGGACTAGGAGGAAGCTTAGAAAGTCTCTTTTTATAAAGTAAGGACACCAAAAAACTAATCTGGAGCTGTGGTGCTGGGGGTACTCAGGTGAGTTAGGCAGGCAGGAGTGGCACCAGGGTAGCAGAGGAGCATAGAGGCAGACAAATGGCTGATGGTGGTCAGTGTGGCTGAAGCACCAGGGGCAACAGGGGAGTCGAGCAGCCCGGAAAATGATCAGTACGGCTGGAGCTTCAGGAACAAGCAGGTTGAGCTTGACAGGAGTAGTGACGGCATCACTGGGGAGTCAGGAACCAGCAGCAGGTAATGTGGGACAGCAGACACACCTGCATCCAGGTAAGGGGACAGAGTCAAACAGTGTCACTGGCAGATCAAGAATACACAGCAGGGAATGTGGGACAGGAGACGACACCAGTGTTCCTGGGGGATGCAGGAACTCAGAGGTAAGGGGACAGTTGACAGCATGCGGGCATCATCAGGAACAAACCAGGCAGAAACGAGGAACACAGGAGAGTGGCAGACACAGAGCTGAAAGAGACTTCACGCAGCGTGCTGAAGTCATCAAGAGAAAACCAGGTAGGAATGAGGAACAGAGTGAGCTTCTTCAGCATTGTCAGGATCATAATAACGTCAATGGACCAGTAAGACACTAAGGGAAAGTAAGAGTTATCTATGGGCTGTAGACGGGGAGATAATGAGGACAGGTGAAAACAAGGAACGGTGATTGTGTACTGAGGTAAAGTTGGGCAGGTGAGGTGACACAGGACAGGAAGTCTGACAAAATAAAGGCTCTCAGAACAGGAAGCAGGGCTAAACTGTGACACTTCCATGATTAAGACAGTCAAAAGTTTTGGAAGGGCTCTCAGGGCATGTTGGAAGTTGTCAATAAAACTAATAAGTAAGAACTGTGGAGTTTTATTTGTTATAATTACCTAGAGTTTCTTTTAATGCATAAATATACATATCTGTGCCATGTTTACATGTAAAACTAAACTGGTTATCAGTCATGAACCTAAATTATTCTAGTCTCTCCAAAATGATACTCTCCAAAACCTTAGACACAATACTGGCAAAGGCTATACAGTAGATTTATAATTCTCCAAAGTATTTTATTTTCCAGCCTTGTTTTTAATTACCGGCACAGGTAAAACAGACAAGAAAGAGTCACCACAAATACATCCATCCATTATCTATACCACTTCTGGATCTGGAGCCTATCGCAGCTGACAGTGGGAGAGAGGCGGGGTACACCCTGGACAGGTTGCAGTCTATCACAGGGCTGACATGTAAACAAACAGTCACACACACTCACACTCACTCCTACGGGCAATTTAGAGTCACCAATCAACCTAAGCTGCATGTCTTTGGACTGTGGGAGGAAGCCGGAGTACCCAGAGAGAACTCACACAGGCACAGGGAGAACATGCAAACTCTGCAAGAAAAGCCTGGGGTCAGTTGAGGATCAAAACTGGAACCTTCTTACTGTGAGGTGACAGTGTTAACCGTCACGTCAGTGTCATCATAAACCCAGTGAAGCAAGTAAAAAGAAGCGAAAACAGTCTCTTACACACCAGTTTTAAGTGTTCAGCAGTAGTATTATCCATTTCACAAGCCTTACTGTCTCCTAACTTCATAATGGCCTTGTAGATATCTTGTGTAGTAACCACCACAGTCTGTTCATCTATTTTATTCACCTCAAATTTGATGCTTTTAACAAAACTGAAAAGATCATAGTAGAGGTTCTGTCACAGCTGAGCAATATTGTCAGAGCCATTTACTCCATCAATATTTGGTGGTAAATGTATATTATCTGATCATCTGTGTTCAGGAGGTCAGTCACATACAGTAGATTTGGCCATGAGTTATCCAGGTAGTGCTGGTTTATCTCAGGCTTTTATGTTATGTTTCTTGGTATAGTATCAGTATTTCTCAAGACATGGCTTCCTTGCTTTTTGAACTGTATTGTGGTCTACTGGATGAGATTAGTAAACTGACTGAGATTGTAAAACGTTGAACGTGAGGTTGACAGCAAACTGGGAGCCAAATAATGTGACAAAGAAACACCTCAAGAAACACTTACTGAACTTGAAAGCAGCATTCAAGTAATTAATCTGCTAATTTAATTAGCATTAGAAACTGGGCTTAACCTTATTTTAATCCAAATATGTGGGTTGGTTTTAAACCAGACACTCCTTTCTGTAGAAGTTTAAAGGCATTATCACTGACAACAATAACCTTTCTGTTGCAACAAATTTCTCAGTAAATAATTATTTACTTTCACAACATGTACCTGCCTGTTATATGTTGCAATGAAAGTGTTCTTACTACACAATATCTATGTAAGGGTCAAACTAGTGAATGTGCTGTTTTTCACTATCAATAACAAACAGACGTGCATATACAGACATGTTGGTTTTACTTTACAGATTATGCATGCCTTTTACTTGAACTGCAGCACTGTATACTTTTTTTTCATTTGACAAAACACACATTGTTTTTTACAGTTGACAAGGAAATCGGAAAGTCTCAATGTGCAGTCTAAGCAGGTCCAACTTTGGAGACTTCAGTCATTGATTGCGTTGTTGAAGTTTCCTCCTCACCTCCACTCATACCCAGCATCGATAAAATGCATGAGCGGAACTGAAAGGGGGAAAATAATAGATTACTGAAATTGTTGAAATTTACAGTGATTTCGTAGAACAGTCAATTATCTCGACAACTTGAAGCCTCTACAAAGTCTAGCATCTAGCTCACTGCTCCTCCCCAGGTATCTTTATCGTCATGCATGAACCTAACCGAGACCAAATAAAAGTATAAATGTAGCATTAAATCACTATGTGTAGAATCTGAACATTTCTGGTGCCCAGACAAAACAGTTCTCTCTCAGTACAGTGACAGCAAGGCACTATCTCCTCTTTCTACTAGTGACAACAGTATGCCATCACAATACTTCTGCACATAGTGGCTTTGATTTATGTCACAATCCTAGCAAAGAGGACAAATTGATGATTTAACATGCTTCACTGTCATATAAATTGTTTTTATACTCAATATAGCACTGACTCTAAGCTTCTGCATATCAAGTAACAAATCCTTCCTTTTAACAAAAGTACATCAATTTACAAATTAGGTTAGTTTTCCATCACAACGTTTAACAGACCTGTTTATTGAAGATGACATAAATAACAGGGTTGTAGACTGTAGAAGCCTTCGAGAAGCAGGAGGGTATGGTCGCCAGTCTCAGGTCGAATGTTGTCCCACGATTGTTCACAATCCAAAGAGCAAAGGAGGCATATGGCACCCAGCACACCAGGAAACCCATCACCATGATGATCACCATTCTGGTCACCTCCTTCTCTGCCTTCTGGGTGGAGGCAGAGTCAGCTTGAGCCTTCGCTGCCTGTTATTGGGGTGGGGGGTGGGGGGCAGAAACAAATCTTGAACCAAGGTTAGATGGCAGATAAGACAATGCTACATAATCATGAGACAACTTTTTTTCAGTACAGCAAAAATAACCACATTTATGCTTTATCTCAATTTAAGGTGTTTTTTTTGTGATTTCGCTGAATCACCATTTTCAATGTAATGAGCAGCTGAGCATAGCAGAAGATAATGCTGGTGAAGGGAACAGCAAAGCAGAAGCCAAAAAGGAACATCACATAGGATTCGTTGTTGTATTTGTTGTTTGTGGTGTACCAGTCTGGTCCACAGGAGCACTGCAGACCTTCAGGGATATATCTGGACAGACAATTGCAAGCATGTTAAGTGTGCATCTCGGTTTTGCAGTGTGATCAGTCTAAATGTAAGGTTGTGTGTGTAATACTAACCTGCTCCATCCGAAAAGCGGAGGAGTTGAGGCAATCAGTGCAAACACCCAGGTGAATGCACAGCAAGCTAAAGCGTGATCAGGTTTGAAAATAAAGTTACCGAGTGGTTTGCAGATGACCAGCCACCTTTCAAAAGCTATGACAGCCAGAGACCAGAGGCTTACCATTCCTAGAACAACACAGGCAAACAACTTAAGTCTTTTTTCAATCATTATAAACTAGTCCAGTAAAGGTCCAGATCAAATGGCATTATGTATTGTTTGCAAATCTTACCGCCGAGTGTTGCCGTAAAGCCTTCAATCTTGCATGCTAGAGATCCAAGTATGAAATATCTGGCTGCAAAGGAGAAGCAGGCGGTGGAGGAGCCCACCATGGACACAAGAAGGTTGGCTATGGCCAAGTTCACCAGGATGTAGTTGAGGTGGGAACGGAGCTTCTTGTATTTGATGGTACATGCAATGGTGAGGGCGTTGATTCCAGTGCCAAAAACAAAGATAAAAAGCATGAATGCTGCCATGGCGTAGAAGGTCCCCGAGCCCCCCAAGTGATCCTGAGGAATCAGGAAAGGGCTGAGTGATGTGATGTTGTTGGTGTCCAGAGGGATGGGTATCCAGAAGTCCTCTGGCAGCTCCGTACCACGATTTCTTGTCATTTTGCTATTGATCAAAGCTGTTGCACCTCAGTAATGGTCTACTTGTTTATGTGGTTGCTTCACCTATATCATATGTATCATATAATAAGAATGAAGGTTTAAGACACAAACATAAATGCTACAATGTCTGTGCCCCTAGTGTCACTAACACCGATCTCTCCTGGAGGATTGACTTTTATAAAAGTGCTCCAGATGTCACTCATCCACATTAAGAGGTTAATTGATTCTATAATTGACTGATTTGTCAGAGTTTGCACTAAGTGGTGTTAGGTGATTTAGCAGTTTCTCCTTCTGACTGTGCTACTAAAGCAGTTACAGGCTGGATGTTTTGAAATTGTGTGTCACACAGCTTTGAAATTACACCTTGTGTGATGAGTTGAGGACTTCTGCCAGTCTTTTGTATAAAACATGCAGCTGCTACATGATGCAAATTTACTGCCATTCATGCCCCATGGCTGGACAGCATATGTGAATCTATCCAAGTGCTGCTTCAGCAATGGAATAGATCTTCTTTATAAGAGGTTGTTGCTGTTTATGGTTAGGAAACAGTGATCGAAATAATAAATATGAATACTCAACCTTCATCACTGTGTTTGGCTCTTGAAAGGGATTTCAAGATTTAGTCCTTTGTATAAACATTACTTACAAGTATTTGGTTAAAGGCACACACAAGAATGTGTACACTTGTACAAATCATGTGCACTGCGCATATTTATGTATAAACATTTGGTCTTAACATCAAAACCTTGTTAAACAGGTTAATCCCACTTTCTTAAGGAAGAGGGCAGCAAGTCTTTGCCTGCTAATCTCATTTCCAAGAACATTAAATCTGATAATCTCAAGCACTGAAGCCCTTTGTAATCTACTGGTTTTACTGGTGGTTTGTGTTACCTCATTGACCTTCTGGCTCCCGCCCCAGGGTGTAAGACGATGAGAACACAATGTAACTTCAGAGGGTGCTCACTGTAACTCTGTCATTCCAACATGTCACTGCAAAGAAGGACATTGTATGTTAGTATGTCAGAGATAGAGGATGAATTTGAAATGAACATATGAAGGTGTTGAGTCATATAAGGACATTAAAAGCAACGTAATGAAATAAATGCTATCCAACTGATAATGCTGAACATTTTCATTAAACATTTTTTTATTCATATGTGTGCTGTGCTAAAAAGAGTGTTAGTCATTTCCTGCAGGAATAAAATACAATATCTATGATACACAAAACATCATCATGTGTACTTATTTACACTACAAAAGTGATCAGTCGCCTGTGCAGCAGTGTTCTGACAGTAAAAGGAATGGCAGAAAAGTAAAAGGACCCTGGAGACTTCAGTCACTGACTGTGTTGATGACTCTTCCTCCTCACCTCCACCCATCCCCTGCATCTTCATCATGCAGGAGCAGAACTTAAACACACCATAGGAAAACAGATTTAGGCATACAACTTTATAAAAAATATATTTTTGCTAAATAAACTACTGGCCATTTGGCATCAAGTTGTCATTGGTTAAGGTCAAAGGTCAAAGTGTTTATTTGTCATATGCATAGTTAGGAAAGGTGTTTCCCTGTACAATGAAATTCTTACTTTGCCGTCCACATGAATGCCACAAAATACAAGTGAAATATAAAGTAGATGAGCAATAACACAACTCTAAATAGGCAGTAAAATCACAAATCTAAGGCACTTTAAAGCAGAAATTGAAGGGAGCAAATAAAAATACAACAAGAACACAATATAATGCAGAGAGAATATATGCTATGTGGGAGCCATGGAGTGTAATTACTCAGCAGTGAGTGTGCAATTATGCATGTGCAAACTGAGTATGTAAACAGTACAGATGGAATTACATGAGGTAGATCCTGAGTCAGCTGTTTAGGAGTCTGATGGCAGAGGGAAAGAAAGGGTTTTTCAGTCTAGAGGTCCTGCATCTCATATTTCTCAGCCTCCGACTGGAGGGCAGGGGTATAAACAGTCCGTGCTGGGGGTGGGTAGGCTCCTTGAGGAGGGAGGCAGCTTTCCTACGCACCCTGCGGTGGTAAATGCTCTGCAGAGAGAGTAGTGGAGTCCTGGTGATCTTCTCTGCTGTCTTTACCACTCTCTGTAGGTACTCCCTCCTGTAGGCTGCTTCATACCCTCTAGTGATGCAACCTATCACTGCGGTGTCGTCCCACGACGTCTGTCATGATTTGGTTCTGCTGCTTCCCGTCCGGCTTTTATTTTGATTCTACTTCCTGTTTTGTTTCACCATAGCTTAGGTCTTTTTACTTTCTTCCTTACTCAGACTAGTTTCACCTGCTCCTTATTACCTGCACCTGTGTTCACCTCTATTGAGGCAGCGTCCTCCGACAAGGACGCTGCCATGACACAAGCCGGGCCCCCCCCCTCCTGTAGGCTGCTTCGTCCCCGCCAGTGATGCGACCTATCACTGCGTGTCGTCTGCGAACTTTAAGATGATGTTGTCTTTGTGGGAGGCGACACAGTCGTGGGTGAACAGGGTTTAGAGGATGGGACTGAGATCACATCACTGTGGGGTGCCGATGTTCGTATTAATGCTGGCTGAAGTCCTATTGCCAGTCCTGTCAGTCTGGGGCCTGCCTGTCAGAAAGTCCAGGAGCCAGTCACAGAGGGTGGGGTGCAGACCCAGTGTGGACAGTTTGTGGGGGATAACTGTGTTGAAGGCGGAGCTGTAGTCAATGAAGAGTATCCTGATGTAACAGTCTCCATTTTCCAGGTGAGAAAGGGAATAGTGGAGTGAAGCCACAATGGCGTTTGAGGTGGCCCAGTTGGGCCAGTGGGCATACTGCAGGGGGTCCATGGTGTCCAGTATACTGCTCTGGATGTGGGCCAGCACCACTCTCTCAAAACACTTCATAATGATTGGGGTGAGTGCCACTGGCCTGTAGTCAGTCATTCAGGCAGGTGACCGGGCTCTTCTTGGGAAGGGGGACAATGGTGGTGGTCTTAAAGCAGGTGGGAATGATGCTTTGCCTGAAGGAGAGGTTGAAGATGGTGGTGAGAACATCAGTGCTGTAGCTGGAGGTCTCAAAGCGGGTGTAGAAGGTGTTGAGGTCATCCAGCAGGCTGAGTGTGGAGCTGATGATGCTGGTGGTGGTCCTGTAGTGTGTGATGTGCTGCAGGCCTGGGCACATTCGTCCGGAGTCAGCAGTAGCATAGAAGCCATTCAGCTTGGTGTTTATATGTAAATTCCTATTTTTAATCAGCCACACTACCTTTACTATCATCCTTACCAATTATACAGTGGGTACGGAAAGTATTCAGACCCCCTTAAATTTTTCACTCTTTGTTATATTGCAGCCATATGCTAAAATCATTTAAGTTCATTTTTTTCCTCATTAATGTACACACAGCACCCCATATTGACAGAAAAACACAGAATTTTTTTACATTTTTGCAGATTTATTAAAAAAGAAAAACTGAAATATCACATGGTCATAAGTATTCAGACCCTTTGCTCAGTATTTAGTGGAAGCACCCTTTTGAGCTAATACAGCCATGAGTCTTTTTGGGAATGATGCAACAAGTTTTTCACACCTGCATTTGGGGATCCTCTGCTATTCCTCCTTGCAGATCCTCTCCAGTTCTGTCAGGTCGGATGGTAAACGTTGGTGGACAGCCATTTTCAGGTCTCTCCAGAGATGCTCAATTGGGTTTAAGTCAGGGCTCCTGCT